TCAATGCGGTGTCCTGGGGTATCCTCCACTCGCACTTAAATGCCCGCGCAACCCCCAGTTGTGCCATCACTGCTTCTTATGTTGTGGGAGGGCGGGTGGGAATGGGCATGCTATTCTTGACTCGCTCGAGCTGGCTAGCTTGACCCACACCCACACCCACACACCCACCCCAAGCCACTGGAGCCATTGGACTTCTGAGGCTATGGGGCGCAGGCCCCTGGAGCACCAAAAGCGTGCGTGCTCCAGCGAAGCGAGCTTGGCAAGGATGGTCTAGGGAGTGTACAGGGACTGACAGGGACGGTATAGGGAGCGTATGGGGGGCTGACAAAAATGATAATAAAGGGCTCCCTACTATGAGTCGCACAATCAGTCGTAGTAGGACCTCCATACTAAGACTCATAGTACAAGCTCCCTACTACGAATCATCGCAGGAGCTCCCCACTACGATTCATAGTAGTAGCCGCCTACTACGACTCATCGCAGGAGCTCCCCACTACGACTCATGGTAGGAGCTCCCCACTACGACTCATACTAGAAGCTCCCTGCTACTACTCATAGTAGCAGCTTCCTCCTACGACTCAAACTAGGAGCTCCCTACTACGACTCATAGTGAGAGTTCCCTACTACGACTAATCGAAGGAGCTACTACGACTCATAGTAGCAGCTTCCTACTACGACTCAAACTAGGAGCTCCCTATGATACTATAAATCATAATAGAAGCTCCCCGCGATGGGTCAGTGTAGAGGCTCCCGCGATGAGTCATAATACCCACGATGAATCACAACAAGGGCTCCCTGCGATGATAAAGGCTCCCTGCTATGTGTCATAGCAGGAGCTCCCTACTACGAATCATAGTAAGAGCTCCTCGCTACGACTCATAGTAAGGACTCCCTAGTACGACTCGTCGCAGGGACCCTCTAGTTCGACTCATAGTAGGGACCCCCTACGATTAGCCATCGCAGAGACCCACTACTATGACGCGTAGTCGGGAACCTCCTACTATGAGTCATAGTTGAGGCCACCTGCAATGAGTCATAGTAGGAGCTCCCTACTACGACCTATTATGAGTCATACTAGAGACTCCCTACAATGAATCATGTTGGGGACTTCCTACTGTGAGTCATACTAGAGACTCCCCACCATATGTCAAACTACTCCCTACGATTATCCAGAGTACAGGGCCCCTACTACGACTCATACTAGAAGCTCTCTACTATAAGTCATACTAGAGACTAAGAGCTCTCTACTATGATTCGTAGTAGGGAGTCCCTACCATGAGTCATCGTAGGGAGCTCCTATTACGACTCATAGTAGTGAGTCTCTACTATTAGTCTGTGGACACATGCGGGCCCAGCCACTGGAACCTTCGGAAGAGCTCCGCATGGGGCCAAGGTTACGATTCTCGTGACACGTGTGCCGAAATTGGCCTTCTGTGGGCCTGGGGGCGCATGCGGTCCCTGCTACTGGGACCTTCGGAAGAGCTCCGCATGAGGCCAAGGCCACGATCCTCGTGAGACTTGTGCCGAAATCAAGCTTCGGTGCGCTCTCGGTGGGGCTCCCTACGGGGCCAGGGCAACGATCCTCCTGAGGGGTGTGCCACAATCGGGCTCGAGGACGCATGCGGGCCCTGCCACTGGCACCTTCGGCAGAGCTCCGCATGGGGCCACGCCCACGATCCTTGAGGGGTGTACCGAAATTGGGCGTCGGTGCGCCCTCGGTGGAGATCCTTTGGGGGCCAGGGCCACGATCCTCGTGAGAGGTGTGCCAGAATCGGGCCAGAGGACGCATGCTGGCCTTGCCACTGGGACCTACGGAAAAGCTCAGTGTTTGGGTCAAAACAACGAACCTCCTGACAAGTGTGCCGAAATTTGCCTTCCGTGGGCTTGGGGACGCATGCGGGCCCTGCCACTGTGACCTCAGGGCCATGATCCTCGTGAGGGGTGTGCCGAAATCATGCCCAAAGACTCATGCGGACCCTGCCACTGGGACTGTCGGAAAACCTCCGTATTGGCCCAGGGCCACGATCCTCGTCAGGGGTGTGACGAAAGGAGGCTTTGATGTGCCCTTGGTGGAGCCCACTTAGGGGTGCGACGGGATTCTGCCTGGGGACGCATGCGGGCCCTGCCATTGGGACCTTCTGAAGAGCTCCGCGTGGAACCAGGGACACGATCCTCGTGAGTGGTGTGCCGAAATCACGCTTCGGTGCGCCCTCCGTGGAGATCCTTTGGGGGCCAGGGCCACGATCCTCGTGAGAAGTGTGCCAGAATCGGGCCGGAGGACGCATGCGGGCCCTGCCACTGTGACCTTCGGAAGACCTCCGCATGTGGCCAGGGCCACGATCCTCGCGAGGGGTGTGCCGAAATTGGGCGTCGGTGGGCCCTCGCTGGGTGTGGGTGGGGGTGTGGGCGTGGGTGTGGGTGTGGGCGTGTGTGTGGGTGTGGGCGTGGGTGTGGATGTGTGTGGGTCTCGGTGGGGGTGCACAGGCACCCAGTGTAGGCCTCCATCCACAACAGCAACAACAGCAGCAACGACGACGACGACGACGACGACAACAACAATCATGTTACCCTCATGCGCGATGCTTCCACACGCAGCATGCGACCATCATGATAACCATCCCCATTATGGGGGATCATTGTTCTATCGCTGGGGTCCGTTATTCCCATTCCCAGATCTCCCGCCCAATGAGGTCTTGCAAATACCTCCTCCGAGGAATTTCAACATATCCCGCCTCGAAAACACATGCCCGCTCCCTGCTGCGCCGATGCGAGACCGCAAGTGGAGCCCCAGCCAAGGGTATGGCACAATGAAGTATCGAGCGACAGGATTGGTTTGGTGGGGATGGGGGCTGTCGGCGGCGAGGCAAGGACCTGGCCCTGAATAGAAAAGGAGGAAGTCTCGAGCAGAAGTGCTCTTGTTGCTGGGGGCGGCGCCAATGTAGAAGAGAGTATTGCGCTGGTCCAGCGTGAAACAAAACGAACGCTCGAGCGGGAGCGCTGGTTCTGTTGGGACGACGGTTGTCGGCGGCGAGGAGGAACACCGCCTTGAGTAAGGGAAGAAGTCTCGAGCGGAAGCCGCGGTTTTGTCGGGACGGGGGCTGTCGGCGGCGAGGAACAGCACCGTCCTCAGGAAAAAGGGTGGAGGCCTCGAGCGGGAGCGTTGTTCTCGGTGGGGGCGGCGCCAAATTCAAAAGAGAGTGGGGCGCCAGTCCAGCGTACAACGGGAGGAAGTCTCGGGGAGGAGCGCTGGTTTTGTCGGGGCGGCGGTTTTCGGCGGCGAGCAACAGCACCGGCTCTGAGCAACAAAAAAAAATGAGGAAGTCTCGAGCGGAAGCCGCGGTTTTGTTAGGGCGGCGGTTTTCGGCGGCGAGCAACAGCACCGGCTCTGAGTAAAAAAAAAAAGGAAGCCTCGAGCGGGAGCGTTGGTTTTGTTGGGGCGGGGGCTTTCGGCGGCGAGCAAGAGCACCAGCTCTGAGTAAAAAGTGAGGAAGGCTCGAGCGGGAGCCTCATGTTCAATGAATATGTAGCCAGCGCCGAGACGAGAGCGCCAGGGCGCCTGGGGGGTTCCAACAATCAGAAATGTTTACTCATAAACATTCAACAACTACACCAACAACACCAACAACACCACCACCAACAGCAACACACGAACACACACACACACGCACACGCACACGCCCGTCCGCACACACGCACACACGCACACACGCACGCACGCACACACACACAAGCCCACGCACACACACACACACACCTGCACACACACACACACACACACGCACACACACACACACACACACACACACACACACGCACACGCATACACACACGCACGCACACGCACACACGCACATCCACACCCACACGCACACGCACATGCACACGCACCCGTCCACGCACGCGCACACGCACACGCACACACACACACACACACGCACACACACACACACACACACACACACGCACACACACACATACACACGCACACGCACACGCACACGGACACGCACTCGCACACGTACACGCACACGCACACACGCACGCGCACGCGCACGCACACGCACAACTACACACGCACACGCACACATACCCTTGAGCAGGGACAGACCGTCCCAACATTCCTATAGGTCTACCACAGTATGTTCTTAGACCCCGCAAGATGATCGAATAACGAAAACGATATTCTTAGCACATAAAGCTGATGTGCTGAAGTAAGGCAGTCCCAGCCACAAATGTCCTAAGATCATCTCGTGCAAACCACAGAGAAAGTACCAGAACATTATTTGGAGGGCCTATAGGCAGGCCAGGACGCTTCGCCACTGCTTGACAAACGCACAAGCGCACTCACACGCACACAGACACACACACAAGCACACACACAGCACGCACGCACGCACACACGCACACAAGCAAAAGCACACACACAAGCACACACGCACACACGCACACACGCACACCCACACATCCACAAGCACACACAGGCACACACATGCACAAACGCACGCACACATACACGCACACACACACACACGCACACACACGCACACACCCGCACACACACGCAAACTTTTTGCGACGGCGGCTGGGCAGAGTGACTGCGCTGGCGGAACAGCATATGTAGGACACACGCACACACGCACACATGCGCACACACGCGCACAGAGGACCGTGTCCCACCGGCGCACCTCCGCCCGCATTACTTGCGTCGGCGCGGGGCCTGGACGAAGACGGTGCGAGGATGCGAGGTCCCTGTTCCTGCGTGCACCAGCAACAACAGCACACGCGCGCACACACAGACAGACAGACACACCCACACACACACACACACATACCTACGCACGCACGCACGCACGCGCACGCACGCACGCACACACGCACACACGCACGTACGCACACACGCACGTACGCACACACGCACGCACGCACACACGCACGCACGCACGCACGCACGCACGCACTCCCGTGCGCGCGCACTCCCCGCTTGCCCTCTGCCCGGGCGCCTGCGTCGTCGGGCACCCCTCCTCTCGGGGCGACTGCGACGTCCAGGGCCCCCGGGGCGCCGCCGGGCCGGCGGGCGCCCGTGGCGACGGGGGCCACGAGGCCTCTCCACCGCGCGGGCCGGGAGAGGGGGGAGACGGAGGTGGAGAGGAGCATCGAGGATCGAGGATCGAGGGTCGAGGGTCGAGAGAAAGAGAATCGAGGAGGATCGAGGATCGAGGAGGATCGAGGAGGATCGAGGAGGATCGAGGAGGATCGAGGGTCGAGGAGGGTCGAGGAGAATCGAGGAGGATCGAGGATCGAGGAGAAGAGAGGGAGGAGATTCGAGGATCGAGGAAGAGGGGGAAGGGGAGCCCAGGGAGGCGGGGAGGAGAGGGGGAGGGGAATCAGAGGGGGGGAGGGGGAGGAGGCTCGAGGATCGAGCAAGATCGAGGATCGAGGATCGAGGATGGAGGCTGGAGGCTCGCACATAAACTTCTGGTGCTCTTCGCCCCCCTGGGGGGGCGGGGAGCCCTGCCGTGGGCGCCGTCGCCGCCGCGGCCGGGACGTGCCTCCTCCGAAAGAGGTCCGCTGGCCACGAGAAGGCGCCCCAAGGGGAGAGGTCGGAGGGCAGGCCGTGCTCTGGGAGGGGGGGCCGGGCGGGAGAGAGAGAGAGCGAGGGACGGATGGTTTCCTCGGAGCTCCCCGACGCCCACGGAGGTCGATGGGGGAAGGAGAGAGAGAGAGAGAGAGAGAGAGAGAGAGAGAGAAAAAGAGAGAGAGAGAGAGGAGAGAGGTGAGAGAGGTGAGAGAGGTGAGAGAGGTGAGAGAGCGATAGAGAGAGAGAGAGAGAGAGCGCGTGAGTGAGAGAGAAAGGGGGGAGAGAGAACGAGAGAGAGAGAGAGCGCGAGAGAGAGAGAGAGCTTTCATGGCATGACGCTTCTCGCCGTGAGGAGCGCCCGTGCGAGGGCGCGTGCGACCGCGTTTGCGCCACGAGCGTGCCAAGGCCGTCGCCGCCCGCGTGGCAACACAATGCCCACCTTGGACAGCTTCATGCTGCACCGCTCCTGGCATCCAACGCCGCGAAGGCATCACAACATGATGAGCACGCGACCAGACTTAGGTCGGGCACGTCCTCCTACAGGCGGATTATGGAGGAGAACTAACAAGTAGTCAGAACATGCTCAAAGATAGTCCCCAAAGCGCGGAAAATCGTCACCATACTATTTTTGACTTTGAATATCTTTCCTGTAAGGGACTCAAGACCAGACCCTGGAGACCACCGTCTGTGCCTCCCCCTAAACGGGTCGCATCGGTCTGTGAGAGAGCCCTGGGGCCCAGAACGGAGCGGAAGCATCTTTCGTTCTCTTCACGGCGCCTGACGCTACACCCAGAGCTCCGACGGCCTCGGGCGACGAGATCTATACATCTCCACGGCTCCCTGGCCGAGCCCATCCTGAACCCAGCCAGGCCAAAAAAGTGAGACGACGACGACAACGACAACCACGACGGCGGCGGCGGCGACGACGACGAACACGACGAAGGAGGCCAAACCAAAAAAGCGTGACGCGTACCCCGCTGCCGGGCTCAGGGTGAGTCTGGCCAGGGAGCAGTGGATATGTACAGTGAAGGCCGGTCCACAAGAGAGCTTCCACAAGAAACCCAACCCGGAGACCCCAGGACGTCCATTTATTCCCCACGTCCTGAGGAGGGTTCTTGTTTTCCAAGAACACCCTCTCCTTTTCCTTCTCCCGCTTCCTGTTCCACATGCCATCGCACAAGCATACATACCATACCATACCATACAAAACCATAAGATATCATGCAACGCCATATTATATGATTTCGCACCCCTCCCACCCTGCAGGCAGGCCCCGCCTGAGCGACAAGGGTACTCGCAGACCATATGATTTATCAGGTGTCGTGCCCCTCCCACCGCCCTTCCCACCCCTCCAGAGAGGCCCCGCCTGAGCGAGGACAGTATTCGGATACCATGTGATTTACGAGGTTACGTGCCCCTCCCACCCCTCCACGGAGGCCCCGCCTGAGCGAGGACAGTATTCGCATACCATATGATTTATCAAGTTTCGTGCCCCTCCCACCGCCCCTCCCACCCCTCCAGGGAGGCCCCGCCTGAAGGAGGACAGTATTCGCATACCATGTGATGTATCAGGTTTCGTGCCATGGCCATGAGAGGAGGAGGAGGAGGAGGAGGAGGAGGAGGAGGAGGAGGAGGAGGAGGAGGAGGAGGAGGAGGAGGAGGACGAGGGACGAGGAGGAGGAGGAGGAGGATGAGGAGGAGGTGTAGCACGCAGTAAAAAGGAAGGAAAGCTGCAGGTTGGCCGAACCGACCCAACCCAAAACCTTAGCAGTGTCTGTGTCTCTGCTACGCTGCCCCACTACCCTTTGCAAGGGGGGGGCGCGCGCGGGAGCGGCGCGCCTGCTGTTGGCGGCCGCGGCGGGCGGGCGGCAGGAAAGCTCATCCCTCCTGCTCCTGCCCCACCTCCGCCTCCCGCTCCTGCTCCTCAGCTAAAGAGAGCATAAGCTGGTCAAGAGGGATAACACCATTCAGCTATACTCCCGACTTCTTGGGATGTCTGCCGTTGCAGATCTGCTGCCATGCATATCGGGCTCCACGGTTCTGACTCTCAGCAAAATGCGCAGGGCACGGAGAGGTCAAGTTACGTGGGTTCGACACAGCATAAGCCCCCGCACATCTGACAAGCAATGATAAAGTTCTCTCCTGTTGCAGAATCTGCAACCACCAGCTTGTGGCCGTGGCTGTCTGCAGCGAGAGTCTTCAAAGGAGAACTGCCAGTGCACTTCTCACTGAGCCTCGATTCTTTACTATGGTCCGTCAAGGCTCGGGTTTTACAAAGCTTGCACACCCAGCCTCCCAGACTCCAGACCCAATCGTGCACAAGGAGGCCCCCAGCACCCCGAGACGCAGCGGGAGGACGGGGGGGAGGAGGCACGGGCTTGGAGCCTGGGGCGGCGGCGGCCCCCACAGGAGGGGAATTTGACTTGCTTGCAAAAGTTTAAACCTGTATTCACTTATCTGCGCTTCGGCGGGTGAGGGTTTGGCCAGCTCGTTGGCAGCCCACTTCGCCCATTTGTCCGCCTCGGCATTGCCTGCGGCCTTCCTCCATTCGTCGGTGTGGCGTTCCAGACTGTCTAAGTCTTGGTGCGCCTTGACCTTAATTAGGCTGAGGTCTCGATGCCAGCCTGGACTACCTTTAATTAACAGCTTAATCCCAGCGTAGAAATTCCTATGGGACAATGTTGGGTCGCGCAGCTTGCACGTGCCCGAGTAGTCAGCAACAAGAGACGTGATGTTGCTGCCGTATCTAACAGCCGCGAGCGCCGCAAGATATTCGGCGGCAGGCGACGTTTGCGGAAGCTCGCGTCCCACTGGCCCCGCGAGGGCCGCTTGGGCTTCGCCCGAGATGGGGTCGAGAGCTACAGCGGCCCATCCAGCTCGATGGTGACTTTGGGGACCGTCTTTAAAACAGGAGCCGTCAAGGTACAGCTCACCTTGCAGGGCTTGGGCTGGGGTGGCATGAGGGTCAACCGCCCACAGCGTCGCTTCCTCCAGACCAAGCCCTGGCGGAGCCTGGTTGTCGAAGGTATCCTTAACTCCTAGGCCGGCCTGCAAGTGAGCCCAATCGGCAGTCTTGAGAGTCTCTATATCTTCAAAGCTTAAGTCTTCGCTGCGGTCCGCAGCTGAAAGCACACATTCAAACAACCGATGGTACATACTATCATGCTGGTGCCCGCATGGGCATTTCGTATCTACTTCGTAGCCTGCCTCGCTGAGACCATACTTGGTCCATATGCTTTGGGAAAGGAAGGCGAGGAGGATGGAGCGCTCGCGCGGAGGGCGAGAGGGGGAGTGGAGGATGGAAAGGGCAGCAGAGACGCAGACCTGATCCTCCACCCATCCCAGTCGCTGGCTCGCTTGCTCCACCAGCCTGTCCCTCCAGGCTCTCTGTAGCGCTGCGGAGAGGAGCGCGGGCGACACGGAGGTGAGGATATAGGTCCTGCCGTCCTTATCTTGGTACTTAAAAGGGCTTACCGCTTTCCACCCAATCCTTCCGAGAGACAACAGACAAGCTCCGAAAGGGCCCCGGGACTCTGTCCATCTCTTAGGGGGTGCTTTTAAAATTGGCTCCACCAAATCGCGCAGCTGAGGCAATGTCCAGCCTCCTGCATTGGTTGTTGCTGCCCTCCAAACAATTTTTGCCCACGTCAGGCATGGGCCACATGCTACCTTCCAGGTGGGGTCGTTGAGGAGAAGGAGGCTGAGGGAGCGAGACCTGGTGGTGCATCTTGGGCCGCATGCTTTTAAAAACGTGGTTTGAATAGCCCTCACTTCTCCGTCATCCGCTCCTACTACCTCCGTCCCGTAGTATCCTGCCTGCTGCAACCCACCTGAGTACAGCTTACTGATGTTAGCCCCTCCTTCTCGAAGGCTGTTGAGTTTGAAGAGGCGCTTGCGCAGCTTTGCGTGCCGTCCTATTGCTGTAGGCCTGTACTTCTTGTACATTCTGCTGCGCCCAGCGCTGTAGTCGATGCCTAAGTTGGCTGCCGAGTCTAGTGCCTGTCCGCCTTTGGTTCCAAGGGCCTTGACTATCTGCAACTGCAACTTCTCGGAAGACGCAAGGACTACTGATTTGTGATCGGCCACAGAGCACTGTAGGTCTAACTCGATCACCTGTCGCATGTCATGGGCTGCATCTGTCAGGTTTGTCAGCACCGTCAGCATAGAACTGCTTTGAGCTTGCTGGAGGAAGTCGTCGATGAAGACGCTCAGCTGCACCATACTGTGCTGAGACTGCCAGGCGTCTAGTTCGTTGATGCAATAAATTTGAACGAGGTAAGTGGCGAAGCTGTCGCCTGCTGGGATGCCCCTGGTGGTGTAGCCCACGTCGGTGACCATAGACGAGAACGACACTAACCTTCTAGACTTATGCTGATTGATAATGACCGATAAAATGTGGGTGCTGAACTTGTTGTGGAGCGCTTTCTGGTACAGGTCCTCTCTGTCCACATGCTCGTAAAAGTTGCTTAAATCCCACATGATCGTGCCCGTGTGCATAACGGGGTTGACGTACTGTCCTCTTTCTGCACTTAAGGCCTGCATATAGACTAGTTCACAAATGGACCTGCCCGATTGGTGGCACAAAAACCCTCTCTTGTGGTTCTGTTCCCAAGACTTGGCCACGTGCTGCCTAGCGCGTGCCCATAACCTGTAAGGGCTGGGGAGCATGCCTATACCTCTGTACTGGGGCTGGCTGCCTGTCTTCTTGTGCTTCGGAATGATCACCGTCAGAACAGCGCGCAGCGGAGTGGGAAAGGTCCCCAGGGCCTCCACGAGTTTGAACAGGGTAGCCATTAGCTCCAGCCCAACTTGGCCAATCATTTTGAAGTGCACTGGGTGAAAACCGTCCCAAGTCATCCCTGTGGTCTTGGGGAAGGTTTTGGCAGCTGCAAGGATCTGCTGAGGCTGTAGTGGTGACGGCGGCTCTTCATCTGGGGCTCCCTGAAACAGTGGGCCTTCGTGAGATAAGGACTGCCACAGCTCCTGCAACCTACCTGCCTCAGCCTGCAGCAGGTGACTGGGCCTCCCTGCCTCCATGCCTAACTGCCTGCGGCTGCCAGGGGGGGGGGGGGGAACTGCGAGAGTAGGTGTGTGCTTTACCCGCTCCTCCTTGCATGGCCTCGGCCACCCAGTCCCTCCACTGCTTGTTGCTGTCGCTGGCGCTCTGCCTCTCCTCCTGGCTGATGCTACTCTCCAGCTCATCTAAGAAATCAACGAACATGCGATCGACCAACTCGGCGTTGAGGCACCCGGCCTGGCTGTCCAGACCGATGGCCAGCAGGAGGTTCCTAAACGTATCCAGGGCCTGCTGGAGTGACCCAGAGTTGCTGAACTGCTGGGGCGGGGACTGAACCTCTTCTAAGGCCCAGTTGACGTCATATCTGGAAATGCTGGTCACACCTTCTGGACACCGAAATTCGTGACATTTTCGTTGCGGCGTGACCTGGTGATGCGGATCTTGGTTCCGAATCTCGTTGCACTTGCCCGCGAAGAAGGCTCTAGTTTCCTGCGCTTTGCCCCTGAGCCAGATCAGTGGTTTCGCCAGGGAGCCCCAAACCCAAGACTTCTGGTGCTTCTTCTGGAAGGCCGTGGCGGGGACCCATTTCACCGTAGGAGGTTTGCCGCGAAGAGACGGTTGACGAAGTTGCGTATCCGTGCTCCTAGCAATTGCCTGCTCCATGTCCTGGACCAGGGCCTGATACGCTGCATCCAGGGCTGCTTGCTTGGTTGCTATGCTGTGCTTGACCACCTCGCCTTCCTCTGTGAAAAACATCTCCTCCGCCTTCCTCATCGCTGCCGTCGCTGCCGTCCAAGGAAGCTGCTGCAGGAGAGGGCCGAAGGGGAAGCTGCGGGGGAGCTGCTGAGGCTGCTGCAATACTGGAATAAAATACTGCCCACTTTTCAGTTCCAACTGCACTACTCTATGCGGGGTCAGGGGGCATTCGAGGATGCTGGTCTCCACCGCTCTGTCATCCAAGGCTTCTGACACCAGAAAATAATCCAAGATCGACCTGCTCGTCTTGGCAACATTCGTGGGCTTAGCAGTACTATGAATCCGAACTGTCGCTCTCACCACAAATTCTGACTGCAACAAGGTGGTCGGAGTAAGGTTAAAGTCGCCTCCCATCATCATCGGCATCTGGCACTGCTGCTGGATCTCTCCCGCTGCTGCTAGCAACTGGGCATTTCCTGAGACATCCCCTCCGAGTCATAGAGATAGATCGAAACAACTGCCAGCTGGCCTAATCCAGGTGCCTCCACAGCAACTGCTGTCAGGCGATGGGGACTTTCAAGATGAGGTAGTGTGTAGAAAAACGAACACCTAAGTCAAGACCTGCTCGAATCAAGATCGCGGTGCCCTCCGAGGGGCGCTCTTGGTCTGTCAGGCGAGCTGGCGTCGCGATAGCATGCCAGCCCTGAGAGCTGGCCCATGTAGTAGCCGATGTTGTTGCCTCTGGTTGCCAGAGGCGCACTTCTTGCGCTAGCACAATGCCGACGGGTCCTGCAAAAGGAGAGATGGCAACATCTTTTACTGCCCTCCAGCAGCTGCCGTTTATGGTCACAACCTTGAGGCTAGTATTACCCACCTGACGGGCCAGCCGACTGAAGTGCATCACGATGCACTCGAAGTCTCTTGAGGATGGCCTCGTCATCATCGGACTTGCCCTCCATGCTTTGGACCAGCTTTTCAAGGTGAGCTGCCAGGCTCCGCTTCTTAGTGGCATCGGCCTGATCCATGAGCTCAGCCATCTCAGCTGGGGAATCTGGAATAGGGCCATTAAGTCCGTCACCGTTACCGCCGCTGACTGCTGCCACTGCTGGGGCTGCCGCTGCTGCTGACTGCTGGGGCGGAGGCTGCTGAGGTTGGAAGGGGAGGCTGAGGCTTCTGCTGCTGCTGCGGCTGCTGTCCTCCTGCTGCTCCTCGGCCTTCCTCTGGCGCTCCCTGCCCCTCCGCCCCCCCTGCCGCGTTTGCCCCCTCGGGTGGAGGCTCGGCGGGCGGAGGAACGCCGGCGCGGGGCGCCGCGGGGGCGGCGGGCGCGGCGGGCGCGGCGGGAGGCGCTCTCCGCTGTGCTCCGTCCGCCCCTGCTGCCGTCTCTGCCGCTCCTCCTCCTGGGGCTCCTCCTCCGCCTGCTCCTCCTCCTGGCCGTGCTGCTGGGGCTGCTGCGGCTGTTGCTGCGTTCTGCTGCAACTGCCTGGCCTGCTCCAGCTCTCGCACCATAACCCCCATAGCATCCTGAAGGACCTGTGTAGGCTGATACCCAGGGAGAGTGGGGAGGTGAGACTGAACAAAGGAAACAACTCCTTGCTGCGCTGAAAGCTCTGCTGCTGCTGCATTCCTCGCGACAGTAAGCTGAGCCTGGAGAGCCGTGATCTCCTGTTCGCACTTGTTGAACTCTTGTTCGCCCTTTGAATGTTGCTCGAGCAACTGGGCAACTTGTTCCAACAACTTCTTATTACTGGCGTCCAAATTGGCTCTCTTTTTCCGTTGGGCATCCAACTGATCAACCAGGCTCTTAGTTTGCTCCCCCAGGCTCCTCGATGCCAAAGCCGCCCGTTTGGCTTGCTGAAGCTCCTGGGTAGCTGCCTTGACTTGATGAGGGGGTGCTCCTGGTCGAGTCCTGAACGACGGAGGAATGAGAGGTGGTCCTGGGCGAAGGTGACAGCATCAGGGCTGCTGTTGGCAGCAGCCGAGGCTGCTGGGCCTCCTCCTCCTCCTCCTCCTCCGTCTGCTGCCGCTGCCGCTGCTGGGGGGGCTGATTGCTGGCGCCCCCCACTCCCTCCCCCAACGCCTGCAGGGGGGGGAGGGCGGCTGCCAGAGCGCCTGCCCCAACGCCCTTGGCCTGGGGGGGCACGGGCGTGGGGCTTGGCCTCCGGTTTGGCTTTGGGGGCTGGGCGGCGTAGCGGATCTGCAAAACGAGCTGCCCTGCCGAAAGAGGACCCACAGTCCCCACAAAATTGTGCCCGCCGATTTGCCCAGATCCATCCTGAGCACTGCGGGTTACTGCACTGATGGAAGGCGCGCTCGTCTGCCATGGCTGACACACGAGATGAAGAAACTTCACCACCAAAACTGTGAGGCCAGGGGGGCCGCGGGGGCGCGCGGGGCGCATGCACCTGTTGCTGCTCGAGCGGAGGTTGGGAAGTTAAGGATGGGCTTAACCCCACCCTTGAGCCAAAATGGCTACGGGGGAGGAGGAGGAGGTGGAGGATGAGGAGAACGAGGAGGAGGACGAGTAGGAAGAGGAGGGGGGAAGTGCACGATTCTGCCAGACACCACGCAGAAAGAGCAAGCCGACGACGATAACGATAATAGTCACGATGACGATGACGATGCTGCTAGTAACAACGAAACGGTTGATGATGCTGGTGCTCATGCTGACGGTGTCGATGACGCTGGTCGTGGAGAGGATGATGAGGAGGATCATAATCATCATAGCGACGACGATGATGATGCTGATGATGATGCTGATGACGACGACGATGATGCTGTGATGCTGCAGAAGATGACGATGCTCACGCCGATGATGATGCCACAGATGATGATACTGATGACCATGATGATGCTCATGTTGCTCATGAGTTGAACAGGGAGCAACACGAAATTTTCGATCATGCTTATGACCATCACGTCGAGGAGGAGTCCGACGAAGTGGACGACGACGTCGAAGCATAATGCCGTAACATGTGACACTTTTCGTATTCACACCTCCAGGGGCCACTTGCACTGGAGGGAGCGCCGCATGCAAATGGGTGTCCTCAGCGGGGGTCCCGCCTCAGCCTGATGTGGGGAATTCCGGTAGCATAATTTGTGGGGTGGGAACGCCACGCTTTCCGTCTCAGAACCATCGATACCCAAGAAACCCAAGGCACCCTGGAGGCAAGCAGGGTGTTGCTGGGCATGGGTCTCCACTCTGCGTAGCTGTCGTCGCCCTGGACGGGCGGTGGGCTTTCTCGGCCAGCGGGTCGGCTCCGTCCCTCTGGGGGCGCTTTCTCGGACCCCAGGATCGGGGATGGACAGATCCCCCTTAAGTAAAACGTGGCCTAGTGAAAACGGCCTGAGGCCCAAACCTGGCGGGCGCAAGCCTGGGAAAATAACGGCCACGGCGCCCTCTCGAGAACCGCAAACGGACAATTCACTAATCGACGTGTCACTGTTGGGGGTTCTGTCCACCCCCGACAAGACCATCACGGACGGCTCCGGGGCGAAGCACTGGCTCCGGGGCAGCGGCTGCGGCCGCGGGCTTGGGGCCGCGGACCTGGAGAGGTCACGCCGGCGGAGGGCGGGGCACCAAGGCCGCTGCTCGTGCTGGGGCGCCCTTTTGCCGCCACGGCTGGATCCTCCTCGAAGCTCACCGCCGGCTTCCTTCGCCCAGCTGAAGATACGCCTCACCTGTTGGGAGGGGATCCAGGTGAGGAGGGCCAGAAAACACTAGGGATACAAGGCGGGGTCTTTTCTGCAGATGTGTCAGGCCAAACGGCCCAGACTCATGATCCCCAGTGCGGAGACGGGGACCTAAGTGAGGCCACGTCCTCCTCGTATGAAAGTTATTTTGTTCTCGGTGCCATCCCGAGTTCCGGGAGGAGGAGGAGGAGGAGGAGGAGAGGGTGGAGGAGGAGGAGGAGGAGGAGGAGGATAATGGGGGGCCGATGCGCTGCTCCTGCGGGCACACGTCGGTCGGAAGAAGTAGGCAAAACATGAAGTAGGAAGGCGGACCAAGTAGACTGGGTCCAGGCCCTCCCAGAGAAGAACAACAACACAACACAAGCATCTCGATTCTTGAAGTCGGAAGGCGCTTTTCAAATACGTAGATTGACGTCTGGAAGCCAGAAATACGTACTGTCAACGACAGGCGTGTCACGCGTGAGAGGCCTTGAAGGTGGCCCCCTCGCGTCGTGGAGCGAGACTGGCGGGGCGGCTTCTACTGGGGCCCCCCGACGGGCCCCGGGCCCGTTCAGAGACGGCTTGGGCGGAGAAGCCGGTCCCAGAGAAGGGGTTTGAGACCTTTGAGAGAGCGTGATCCACCGCCGCTTTACTGTGGAAAATTCCCCCCCCTCTTCCTCCGGAACCGGGGGTTCCCCCCCCCCCTCCGAAAATCCCCCCCCCCCTGCTGGACCCCCCCCCCACCCCCCCCCGCCCGCCCCACCCGGCAACCCCCCCCCCTCCCCTACCCCCTCCTACCCCTCGAAAGCCGGGGGGGGGCCACTACCGAGAAGGGGTTGAGGCCTTTGGGGTCGACGCTGTGGAAAAATCGCGGCGTCGGGCTCTGGGTAAAAGAACCCTTGGACAGGGAATTGAATGTCTGAAGGCCACTGGGACGCCAGTTGAGGCGTGACCGTGGGCATCACCGCCGCCTTCCTGGGAAGCAACTGCTGGGAGGTCTTCCTCGGAAGGACAAGTGGCACGCGTGCCCTGGATCATGCACATGTGAAGAGAGGAGGAGGAGGAGGAGGAGGAGGAGGAGGAGGAGGAGGAGGAGGAGGAGGAGGAGGAGGAGGGGGAGGAGAGGAGGAGGAGGAGGAGGAGGAGGAGGAGGAGGAGGAGGAGGAGAGGAGGAGGAGGAGGAGGACGAGGACGAGGAGGAGGAGGAGGAGGAGGACGAGGAGGAGGAGGAGGAGAAGAAAGAGGAGGACGAGGAGGAAGGTAGATAGATAGAGCGGCATTGGGGGCAAGGCAGTGCATTCGGCCGCAAGGATGGGCCCCCGCCGTCGCCGCTCAGAGCGGCACCTTCATTGTGATCACAGCGCCACGCACGCCGATCACCTTGCCGAACGAGGCGTAGTCGCGTCGGCCATCCATATTCACGAACTCGTAGTCGGAGCCCCGCCCACCGTGTAGCCAGCTCGTCCTCCGTGACTCCCGCTGGTGGCATGCCCGTCTTCACCATGGCTCCCACTGGGGGCAGCGCTCTGAAGGTGCTGTCCTTGGTGCTGCTCGGCTGCTTCTGCTCCTCTGGGGGATCCTCCTCGGCCTCCGCGTCGGTCAAGGGCCCCTGCTCGACGTGCAGTGTGATCTTCGCCTGGTTGCTGTCGTGGCACATGCTGATCTTCGGGTACTTCACTCTGTTGAGGTCAGTCGCCACACTGAACTGGTCCTCGAACGCCCCGTGCTCTGTGAGAATGCTCTTGGTGTTGGCGCCCACGTCCTCGGAGCAGAGGGTCGAATTAAGCGAGTGTCCCTTGCCCGCCTCTGTGCACTTGTCCGCGTAGATCTTCCTGCAGGCTCGGAGCGCCTTGATCACCTTGGTCTGAGGCGGCATCCGGCACGAGCTGTAGACCGCGGAAACGTCCCAGGCGATCTGCTGAGAGTAGACCAGACCTTGCTTGATCGTCACCGTGAGCAGCTTCTTCAGCCTGGGGTCGCACTTGGTCTGGTAGGCTTCTCCTCCTCGTTGTTGGCGTCGTATGACTTCGCGACGCCATTGGGGCCGGCAGCCGTGAGCAGGGGGTGGAGGTGGCCTCGGCTTGGACTTGCACTGAAGCTGCCTGTAGGAGCGGCGCCAGAAGGGGGGCGGCATGAGGAGTATGCGCAAGCCGAGGACCTTGGGCTTGCCGTTCTTCTTGTCGAGGGTGCGGCTCTGGCTGTGGTGGGCATGGAGTGGGGCGAAGCCGACGCGGTACGCGTGGTTGAGGACTGACTCGAAGCTCTCCAGCGCGAGGGGTGCCTCAGCGAGCTCGTCATCGTAGCCCACGCCAGTCGGCTTCGGCTTCTGCTTGGTGATGTAGGTGGGCTGGAAGGTCATCTGGAAGTTCTCTGCGGGCAATGGCCAGTCTGGCACTGCAGCACGTTTCTTGAAGTACTTGAGCCGCTCGGTGACGCCTTCGAGTGCTCGCAGGTGTTGTCGTCGTGCTTCGTGTTGGCGTGTCTGCTTCTCGAGGAGACGTGCGAGGACCTCGATCTGGTACTCGGTCTCGTAGATGGGGTCAGTCCCGATGTGCTCCTCTCTGAGCTTGGGACGCGCCTGGAGTAGCCGCAGACGTTCCTTCATGAGCTGGTAGTGTAGGTCGAGCTTGGGCTTCTGGCGCTCGAAGAGGGGGTTGGCTGCCTCCTTCATGATGTTCACGATGAGCTCCCCGTGTTCGTCCGCTGCGCGGACCCCGAGCAACTGCTGCAGCTTGTCCTGGTGCTTGCCGAAGTTGAACTCCTACGCGCCATCGAACTCCTTGCGATATTTGCCCTTCTGCAGGGCCAGGGCCACCTTGTCGTAGTCCCAGGCGGTCCTCTTGAGAACGGTGACCACATTCGGGAAGATGTCGTTGGCGGCTGTATTCTGGAGGACAGGGTCGCGCGGCACGTTGTCATTGATGAGTTGAGGTGCCTTGGCCGTTCGCCTCCGGACTCTGCAAGAAGTAGTTTGGGAGCGTAGACCGTGGGGCAATGCGGTGTAGACGGGACGTGTGGCCTGTCCATGGGCTCCGATGCACAGGGGCCCCGCATTACAGAAAATGTTCAGGATGCACCTGCCGTGCACGTCGGGCACGAGGTGGAAGGCAGCGGAGATCTCTCCATGTACTCCTGTAGGGCCTGCGTCGCCGCTCGCGTAGCTGGGCGAGTCGGGAAGCAATCCTTCCTGGCCGTCGTGGTCGTTCAGGTCTGGGCCGATGATCGGCGTGCTCCAGGTAGGCGTCGCGTTCTGGGTCTGGTAGATCCGCTTGAGCTTCTCGTTGATCTTCTTGATTCGAGCATAGTGGTGCTTGGCGGGCCCTGACCGTGGTGGTAGCGACGCACCAATGAAATTCGAGTCGAGTCCTCCGCTACGAGGGCGAACTGCTCCTGCGCGTCCTTGAATGCTCGGCGGCGGGCGGGGGAGCGCGGTCAGACACTTGATGCAGTAGCGGTTGCTGATGGTGTTGGCCACACCCTCGTGATTGTAGGTGGAGGAGCCGCTGCCGTAGCCCCTCGTGACGATGCGGTGCTGGTAGGTCTGGAGCTGGTCGGCGGGGCGGGCTGCGCGCTGCCGCCAACGGGTGGCTGGTAACGTGATGACGTCGCCTGCGCTGAACTGTCTCGACCTCTCCAAGCTTCTCGGCGCCGCACCCGTGCTGAGCGGGTTGTACACTCCCCAGCTCGGGAATGTCATCCAGAAAATCGCGAGAGATGAAATATGGATGGCCAGCCGCGCTGGCATGGCATGAAGGGCGCCCTGGGGGCGGAAGCTGCTCTGCGTGGGGTGCCTGCTGGGCCGCGACACATGGGGCTAGAGCAGGAGACGGCGGCTACGAGGAGGAAGGAGGAGGAGGAGGGAGGAGGAGGAGGAGGAAGAGGAGGAAGAGGAAAAGGAGGAGGAGGAGGAGGAGGAGGAGGAGGAGGAGGAGGAGGAGGAGGAGGAGGAGGAGGGAGGCGCAGGGGGGGGATCGAGGAAACAGGGAAGAGGAGAGGCAGGAGGGGCCAGGGCGCCCGGGGGCTGAACCAGTGGTTGTCGATTGGGACCTGCTCGACTGAGGGGGGCTGGGGCCAAAGCCGGGTGGGAGAAAGTCCAGGGCCAGGGCCAGGGGTGGAGGCTGGGTCCAGGGACGACGAGCGAAAACAAAGGGTCCAGGGCGAGGGGGGCTGGGGCCAGGGCCAGGGGAGGAGGCAGGGTCCAGGGCCAGGACCAGAGGGGCGACGACAAACGAAAACAAAGAATCCAGGGCGAGGGGGACTGGGGCCAGGGCCGGGGGAGGAGGCAGGGTCCAGGGCCAGGACCAGAGGGACGACGACGAACGAAAATTAAAGGGTCCAGGGCGAGGGGGACTGGGGCCAGGGCCGGAGGGGGGGAGTCTGGGTCCAGGGCCAGGGCCAGCGGGGCGAGGGGGGCTGGGGCCAGGACCAGGGGGGGAGATTGTGTCCAGGGCCAGGACCGGACCAGGGGGACGACGACGAGCGAAAATGAAGAGGTCCGAGCTCTAGAGCACAACTGTGCAAGAGAATTAGAAAGAAGCAAGCCCCATTGCGGGGCTGCTACGGCGGATTAGGCCGCGGATTAGACAGGGTTAAACCGGACTGAGCGGGGTTAAGCCGGATTAAGCGGGGAAAAGCCAGATTAAGCCGGAATTCGGACCAGGGCAAAGTCAGATTTTGACCTCCCAGGAGTTGCATCCGAAACCCTTGTCAAATCATGAATCCTCCAGAATCTGAGGCCTCCAGGGCACATTCCTTCACGAACGCCAGTGCCGTATGGCACCCCTGCCGCTGATCCACGGAAATCTCTCCAGGAGTGCGCGTTCCGACCAGGAGTCCGACGGCGGAGCTGGCCGTGGAGACGGGGACGGGCGGCCGTATCCGTATCAATATCTATGTCTGTCCCTTCCATGATACAGTGGGAGCTCGACCACAAGAAACCTTCCACAAGAAACCTCACCCTGAGACCCCAGCACGTCCATTTATACTTTGTGTGGGGATGGCACGGCTTCCATCGCAAGACCATCGAAACCCAAGACACCCAGGGCACCCTGGAAGCAGGCCGAATGTTTCTTAACATGGATTTCCACTGCATCGGAGAACAATTGCTCGGCTGGAGCCCTGGACCCTGTCCTTCTGCGCCATGCTTCGACCTGTGAGGGCCCCAGGACCGAAGCCGTGCGAAAACGCGCGGCGTGAAGAGGATGGGGGAGAATCCTGGAGGCCTCGCGCGGCAACTCGAGACCCAACTTCAGTCGGATCCACGTCGGCTTGACGCCGGGCTCCCATAGCACTGCATCGGCACTGCTCCGAAGCCACGTCGGACTCGCGTCTGCACCTCGCCGGGCAGACGTCGTCGCAGGGCTGGCGGGGCGGACGTGCGGACCACATGGTGTGCAGCTGCTGCGCGCCTCGCGAGGCCTCCGGAATTCCCGCTCGCAGGGGAACATCTCGGCGCCCAGAATAGGGGGCCACATGCGAACCCTACCCCTACTCCCCACGATTCTTGAGGGGGAGGGTGGGGTTCACTTCGCTCGGGAGAGCTCCCGAGCGAAGTGAACCCCACCCTCCCCCTCAGAAATCGTCGGGGGTAGGGGCAGGGTTCGCATGTGGCCCCCTACAGAACGCAGGGCTCTCGTGTCGGACGCCCGAAGTTGGTGCTGCGAAGACGGGCCACGATGCCCCACCGCGCATGCCTTCGGAAACCGACGGGAGCCGCTGCCGGCCATGGCCGGGGGCCGGGGAGCGGAGATGGCGCGGCGCTCCGAGGCGCGCGGGTGCCAGAGCCGCCGGCGCGACGCGCCGAGCCGGAGGTCCTGACCCCCCTCCCTCCTCCCTCCTCCCTCCTCCCTCCTCCCTCCTCCCTCCTCCCCCCCCTTTCTGGACGACGCGCGCGGCGACGCCGACGGCGAGCCCCAAAAAGGGATGGGAGCTGCTGCAGATCTCCGTGCCCACTGTTTCCGTACCCGTCTCGATCGAGCCCGTTTCGGGCCCACTCCTCCTGGCAGGAAGACTGCAACGCCTGGATCTGAAGGCTTTCCTGAGAAGAGCATGACACCGCATGAGCAGAACCTTTTTCGGAGCTCCGCGCGGAGCGCGATCCGTTGTTTTGACCCATTCTTCGGAGGGGGGAAGACGGGAGCGGACAACATGCTACCACTGCTGGCGCCAATACGTGGATGCCGCCACACGCCGAAGGCGGGCTCGGAGGCGTCGGGGCGAGGCTGGCGAGGTGCGGCACGAGCGAGCCAAGGAGGACAGGGAGGGGACGCGAGGCGAGGGGGATTGCCACGGTGGGTGGTCACGGGCCCCGAGGGGGAACGGGTCCTGAACCGCAGGGCGTTCCCCCGGGACGAGATCTTCGTCCTGGCTCGGTTTCTGCCGGCCCTGGGGCCCGTGGAGGGCCTCGAGAGCCCGAACGCGGCGGATCACCTCAGGACCCGCTTCCCTCAGGAGCCCTCTTCCCCCTTGGCGAACTTCGGCTGCACGCAATAATTGAAGGGAAACTGGGACACACAAATAAATACACACAAACAAAAAGATTCCCCATATTTTCCTATATTTTCTGGGTTTTTATCTTCCCCCACTTCCCATCTTTTCCCATATTTTCTGGGAATCGACGATTAATTGTGTCTGTGTGTTTTTTCCCCTCCTGAATAATGGCCCTTGGCAGGAGTGACCTTTGGGGCGCGGCCCAAGGGCGGGCCCCGGGCGCGCAAGCCGCTGCTGGCGCGCAGGCCAAGGCGCGCAAGCCGCCGCTACCGCATCGCGTGCAGGGATCGGGGGGCCCCACAGGGCTCGGGGATGGACAGAACCCCCTTTATTAAAACGTGGTTTAGTGAAAACGACCTGAGGCCCAAACCTGGCGGGCGCAAGCCTGGAAAATAACGGCCACGGCGCCCTCTCGAAAACCGAAAACGGACAATTCACTAATCGACGTGTCACTGTTGGGGGTTCTGTCCACTCCCGAAGGGCCCGCACCGAAAGTCACTCCGGCGAAAGTTCACCCTTACGTGTACGGCCGGACCCGGGACAGAGGGACATACTTCATGACCATGTGACCCTCCGCCTGCCCAGTCTGAAGAACATTCGAGGCTGCCCTCCCACAGGAACCACATAGAGGAAAGAACAGAACATAAACATAAACTTTCGGAGGTCCGCGTGGATTTCTTGGATCTGCGCCGAACCCCCCCTCACTGGCGCGCCAGGGGCGGCGCCAGAAGCGCCACCAGGGGGGCCCAGCGCCGATCCAAGAAATCCGCGCGGAGCGCCAAAAGTTTATGTTTATGCGTTTGTTTCGTCTTCGAACACAAGAGTATCAAACAAACTGTTTCCGTCGGCGGCGAGGCAGAGGCGGTCCGCTCCAGCGTGTGGCAATTCGGGGCAAGCGAATGGCGAATTGGCCGGCATGCAAGAGAGGAAACATCCAACACACATGAAGAACCTTGGGGTACCCTCCCCGTACCTAGATGCCTCCTAGATGGGATCGCGCCGCATCGCCGATACATCGGCGATCCACTGGCGATGCATCGTCGACGTGGGCGATGCATCGGCGACGTCGACGTGAAGGACATCGGGCTCCACATCCAGCCGCATCGGCGATCCATCGGCGATGTGGCGCGATCCCCCGACCCCATCATTTCGGACCCCATCTGGGAGGCCTGGAGTACCGACCTCGACCTTACACCTCAGCCCGACCGTCGTCGAGATGGTCCGAGCTCCAGCAGCCGGGCGTCGCCACCCCGGGGCGGAGGTGGCGGGCGCCACCCGCCCCTCGCAGGCGGGGAGCCGGGCCCTTTTTGTTTCTCTTCTGCGGCATGCGGGGCCCTCCGCCTCCCAAACTGGAGAACATTCGAGGGTGCCCTCTCACGGGATGCACAAGAATAGCCAAGAAGCACGAAGAAGCTTAGGTAGGGAACCGAACTCTATACACCGGCGAATTTTCCAGCCCTGCACTGAAACTCGCACAGGAAAGCGGATCCTGGTGTATACGGGATACTGGTGTATTCATTTTTGTCATTTCCCCCGGAAGACGGGGAAACAACTATACACCACACCACCCCGACGTCGTCCCCGACCCTCAAAAAGTCCGGGGATTGAAACACAGCACGCCGCTGGCAATGCATATGCTCCTATTTCCGATTGGGGGTGCCCTCCCCGTGCTGACCCCGAGCTCACCCTGCCCTCGACGTTTTGCGTGATCTCCGCCTTTTTCGTTTAGCGTGTACCTGCATCGATTTTTCGTTCAGCGTGCACCTCCTCCCCACCGCCTGCTTTCTGAGCCCTCCGGCCGCCTGAGGCCCCGCCCGCCCGCGCCCTGTCTCCCCAATTAGGGCTACCCGCGTCCCGTTTAGCTCTTGACCAAAAGGGGCCCGCTCCCGACCCGCAGACCGAAAAATGTACCTCCTCCCCCGGGCCCGGCGGGACGACCAGACACGCTGAACGAACCCCCCTGACCGTATGGGGTGCCCTCCCCGGGAGCCTCCCCGTGCCGACCCCGCGCCCACCCCGCGGTCCAAGACCGCAGCCGAGAGGGTCCGCGCGGCGTCGCCGCCCCGGGCGGAGTGGCGGGCGCTGGTCGCCCCCCGCAGGCGGGGCGCCAGGCCGGGAGGCATGGCTCGGGCGCGGGAGCGGGCAGGGGGCCCCCGAGAGCCTGCTCCTCCTCCTCCCTCCTCCCTCCTCCTCCTCCTCCTCGTCCTCCTCCTCCTCCTCCTCCTCCTGCTCCTGCTCCAGCTCCTGCTCCTGCTCCAGCTCCTGCTCCTGCTCCTCCTCCTGCTCCAGCTCCTCCTCCTGCTCCTGCTCCTCCTTCTTCCTGGTGGCGATGTAGCTGCTCCTCCCTCCTCCTTCCCCCCTCTTCCCCCTCTGCCGCCTCCTGCTCCTCCGCCTCCTCCTCCTTCGCCTCTTCCTATTCCTCCGACTCCTCCTCCACCTCCCCCTTCTCCCCTTGCTCCTCCTCCTCCTTGAAGATGGACGCTGGTGGCAGGGATGTCGTACCGACGTTGCCAGCACCGCGCACATCTGTTTTCAAAATCCCACCAACCCTCTGGGCGTAGGCAGTTTAACTTTTTGTCTCTTCCAGATTCCCCTCTTACACATCGGGGATGGGTTTACCACTGTTCCCTATGAATCCGCACCCCCTCCCCGAGCCGACTGGCAGCCAACCAGGACCAAGGGATCCCCACACCACCAGCCCTGCCAAAAACCAACATGTAGTCCACTTGGGGGCAGAATCTTGGGTCATTATCGTGGGGGGCTCGAATACTTTGTACTGGTATTTGATAGGGACGGGGGGATGCCCGCATGTTGCCTGCTGCGCGCAGGGCCAGCATCCCTGTCAACAAACAGACAATCCACTTCGAGGAAAGATCTGGATCATGCGCGGGCATTCCGCGATCTCTCTGTATTGGTTTTGGGCTGGGACGGCGGGGGTGCTGGCACATTGCCTGCTGTGCGCAGGCCCACAAGACACTATGATGAGCACCCCGCCGCGATTGCGCAGTGGATTTCGACTAGGGTGGTGGGGGCGGGCACGTTTCCCGTTGTGTACTGCCACTTGCGCAGGCGCACCTGGCACACTCTGCGCGTGCCCCGAGCGTGGCGCACCTGGCGCGGCTGGAGTATGCGGCACACCTGGCGCACGTGGATCACGTGGCGCAGCTGACGCATCAAGCGTGTCTGGTACGCTTAGTCCAAATTGGGTGCCGTGGCGCACCTGGCACGCGTGGCGCACCTCGCCACAGCGTTGCGCACATGGGGTCTGCTGGGGTTCCCATTAGCTGCCCATGCAAAGACGACCGCTGAACATGCTGCGGCTCGGGTGTTACTGATGTGTTCGGAAAGCGGGTGAGAGTGAGCGAAACGGCTTGCGGGCGGGGAGGGTGTCTAGATCACTGCACACTATTGATATACACCACCTCCCCCAGGCGACCAGCAGCCAACCAGGAAAGTTGAGGACCCCATAAGGGTCACCCCCCACCATCCTTGTCATAAAACAATACAACATACAACTCGGGGCAAAGTCTGGAGTCATGTTCGTGAGGCCCGCAATCACTTTGTATTGTTTTGTTTTGAAAGGGGCGGCGGGGGTATCAGAATATTGCCTGCTGCGCGCCGGGCTACCATCCCTGAGAAAACATACCTCGCGGCTAAATCTGGACCATGCGCGGCCACCACGCGATCACTGTCAAGTGGTGGCGCATGGTTTTCGACATGGGTGGTGAGGGCCGACATGGTTCCCGATGTGTGCTGTCACGTGCGCAGGCGCACCTGGCACACTCTGCGCGTCCCGAACGTGGCGCACCTGGCGCGGCTGGAGTATGCGGCACACCTGGCGCACGTGGATCACGTGGCGCATCTGGCGCACCAGGCGTGCCTGGCATGCTCGGGCACCAGGGGTGCCTGGCGCGCGTAGCGCGCCTGGCACGCGTGGCGCACCTCGCCCCAGCGTCGCGCACATGGGCTCGCTGTTCGTCCCCAATAACTGCCCATCCAAGGACGACCGCTGAACATGCTGAGGCTCGGGTGTTACTTATGTGCTGGGAGGACGGGTGGGAGTTAGCTAGGCGGCTTGCTATCCAGGAGGTTGTCTTGACCCCTCCCCCTAACCTCATCCCCTTGGACCTGGACAGGGCACCCCGTGACCCAGTGGAGCGTCAAAGATGACCCAAGACGGTTCCAAGAGAGCCTTAGAGAGCCCAAGATGGCTTCCAAGAAGGCCCACTATAGATCA